ATCAGGTTTATATTTCGTGACCTTCAGAGATATGCACGAGCTACTACTTTCATCCGTCAAGCTACACCTATTATGAGATTTAACAAAATTTATCACTGAGAACAAAGATTCACAAGCGTATGTGGATGAAAACATGGAGAGTAACACTGGTGCAAAGGTTTTTAAACAGAAAACATTTTCTGGAATGGCATTCCAAGTCCTCAGTAGTTCGTTTTCGACACTTCTCTCTGATACTCCTGTCTCTAATCGCTTTTTTTCAATGTTTTCCAAGTCAACTCTAAGGTCAATAAATTTCTGCTTCCAAATTAAGATACTCTGAAATTCAATCAACTGCATTTCAAAGTCAGCCATGTCTATCCATGAAAACATTTGTAAGTTTAGTTCCTCCAGTTTCATGCTGTCTGGAAACCTCATGAATTTTGATGTCTCTTCCAGTTCTCTGAATTTCGCAAATCTGGAGAAGAACTGCTCAATAGTTGACTTGATGATGTTTAAAAACAGCTTTTGAAGGCTTTCACAGTCTGTTCGGTCATCTTTTGGGAGGTCTTTGATGTTCCTCTTGAGGTTTGGGAAATATCTAAATCTCTCACTATCCACATCCCTCTTAAAAACTTCCAATTTCTTTTCAAAAGCCTTTATGTAACCAAACATCCCATCAAGTGTCTTGCCTGTTCCTTGTAATTTAACATTTAAGTCATTCAAATTTTCACAAAAATTGTAAATGGAAGGTTATACGAGAGGGTTTCGCGTGTCAGCAAAAGTTACTGGCGTACCATCTTTGGAACGCTTGCCAGGGGTTGCCCACCCCTGATTTAGGCTAATGTGAATGTTACTGTCAAAATATCTTACAATATTTCCAAATCTGAACAGTGCAAATAGAGACACTGAGATCATTTTGTTAATTTTATCTAACTGCAGTATACATAAATGTCGTATTTGAAGACATGATTTTGGAGGCTTTTCCCAAAAGAAATACAAATACCAATAAACAAATGAAAAGTTGTTCAGTCTCACTAATAGAGATGCAAGGAAAAAATACATCAAATTAGCCTTTGGAGGAAGTCACTGTTTGTATGCTTTATTACGTATATCACTTGGGACTGACAAGGATGCAGTGAGACAGGCCCTCTCACCACAGTTGGTTGAACTAAATAGAAAGGAATTTAGATAAACCTATCGAGCACCGTAAAAACCTTTACACCCTTTGGCCGTGCAAGTCTACTTATTGGATTTACTCATATGCAATTAATGACATTTATGTGAAGAACTTATGTAAAAAGATTTCTCCTACAGTATTATTCATAAAAACAATAGTTTTTAAATCTGAATGTATAATTTTATAGGAATAATTAAATTGTGCTATGCAATATTTATATGATGGAATAAATGTTATGTAGTCTCTAGAAATCATGTTTTTGAATAATTAATTTCTATGGCAAGAAAATGTTTACTATATAACTAAGTGAAATATGCATAATAATTCCAATTTATTACAAATATACACACAGACAGACACAGAAAAGGTAGTCTAAGATAATAGTAATTACCTGGTAATCATTGAATTGCAAATAAACTTTTCACTTTCTTCTTTAACATTTCTACATTTTCTCAACTTTCTACAATGCACATTGTAATTTTTATCATTTAAAATGTTATTTTATTCTATTAATAAATATTATAGTCTAATAATATTTTCATTACTAAAACTTTTTATTTTAAAATACCTCTATTATCTTTAAGGACATTTTTATATCTCGTAACTAGGAATTTTGGTTCTAGTTCCGACCTAATGTTGACACTATTTCTATTTCACTGTTTTCAAAACAGAGGATAGCAGGGCAAATGGATCAACATTGAAAGTTCCAACTAAATACTGGCACATATTCAGATCAAGGAAAATTTTAAATTATAACCCTATAAATTTTACAACTTGACATAAAAATTTATATTGGTATTGACTATGACATGGAAATGAGACAGAAAGAGACATGGAGGTTGTATGTTAACTGTCTGAAGCTAGTCATTCTAAACTCTTAGAAAGTGATTTCTGATCACTTCCATCAATTATCAGATGAAAGCCAACATCATTATCTGGAAAAAAGACAACTTCATTATTTGGTAAAAAGAACTTGAAATCTTTTTGAAAATGTTACTCATTTTTGAAATTTTTCTTTATCATGCAATGATCGTTATGAAATCTGTGCCATTGAACCACATGCTAATGCAAATTCACTGGCTGCCTGGAACACTGAGAAATTACAAGCAAAAGGTTGAATGTACTTAAAGTTTACTGCTTGAAAAAAAAAGTATGTTAAATGATTATCTTAAATTGTTGCAATTGAGACGTCATGTTGCTAATAAACAATTATGTAGAATCAAGACATATTCACAGCCCTGGCTGGTGTAGCTCAGTTGATTGAGCACCATTCCATGTACCAAATGGTTTCCGGTTTGATTCCCACTCAGGACACATGCCTGGGGTTGCAGGCTTAATCCCCAGCAGCTGATTGTTTTGCTCTCACATTGATGTTTCTCTCTCTCTAAAAATCAATTTAAAATCTTATTTTTTAAAAAGAGATTCACAAATGGGAAATATCTGTAATACTCTCAACAACAAAATAAATTTTTTTAAAAAGAGAGGCATTCACAACCACTATCTTTCTTAATGTTCCCAATGACTGGCTCAGAATTTTGCCACACATGCTTGATAAAAAGTCAAGAAAAATAAACCATCGATTAAACTATTTCATTCAAATATGCTTGAGTATAAACAAGGTCTCATCAATATCAACTATAGATTAATGATAAAAATGACAACCCAATATTATATTTATTATATATATACTTATGTTCACTTTCAAAACATTTGTTATTTCTTTTCAGAAAAACTCCTTAATTATCTGACTAAAATTTATTTAATTTGTATAGCTTTTATGACCTTTCCTATGAAGTCCTAAATAAGAAAAATTTTATTTAGATCCTACATTCCAATTTTTTTCATAAAATATTACGCAAAAGTATAGATAAAAATTAACTTTATAACAAAGTTCACAGCTAAAATCAGTGAAGAATGAAAAAACAGTATGATGAATGAGTCAACTGATTAGCTAGTTGGGAGTGGGCACATCCCCAGTAGGGGGCGTGCAAGAGGCAACTGATCGATGTTTCTCTCTCATTGATGTTTCTAACTCTCTATAAAATTTTAAGAAAAAAGTTTTGATCTGCTCTTTAACTTCGCTTAAAAAATGTAATTAGAAAGGAAAATATGTAGATTGAAACCTTAATATCCCACCTGGTAATTGACCTAAGAAAGTAAGCAGAGGACTTATGAGAGAGGAAATAAAAATAGTACTAAAACATGAAAAATGTTCAACTTCACTAATATTCTAAGAAATACAAATTAAAACAAGGTACTATTTTTAGTCTCAACAATCTTTTTTTAGACTAGTTTATTGGTTTGGAGAGAGAGAGGGAGGGAGAGAGAAAAAAAACATCGAAGTGAGAGCACATTGATTGCCTCCAGCACAACCCCACCAGGTATCGAGCCTGCAACCTAGGCCTGTGCCCTTCACCAGGAATCCAAACCATAACCTCCTGGTGCACAGGATGACACCCAACCAACTGAGCCACATCAGTCAGGACTCAAAGATCTTTTAAAGTGACAACAATATATTTTGGTGAAATTTATGTGAGAAAAAAAGTACTCTCATTTACTGCTGATTTAGGCTGTAAATTGGTACACTCTTTCTAAAAACCCAATTAGCAACAGATAATGAGCCATAAAATGCTCACACCCTTTGGTATAGTAATCTCTTTCCAGAAATCTTAAGGAGACAATCTGAAATAATGACAAATATTTATACACAAAAATGCTCATTACAGTATTAATGGATAATAGCAAAAACTTAAAATAAAATTAATTTATAGAAATTATTTGGAGTTGCTTCATTAAATTACTGTATGCTTACAGGATGAGTAATAGCATGATGTCATTAAAAATTCTCTTTACAAAGAATTTTTAAATTATACAGAAATGCCTATGATATAAAGTTACATAACAAAATTCAAAATTATACCCATGTAGAATGACATTTAAAAGTTTTATAATATGCAAAAACATAAAATTTCTACTAATCCGCTTGTTTTACACTATCATGAGAAAATGGCTAGATCCTCACTGAATTTGGAGGGTGCATGTGGAGTCCTCTAATCTAAAATACATGCTGTGTGGGGCACAAACAATTCACTTTGTGGCTAGAAAAGATTTATACAGAAACTGTGAAAGAACCACTCAACACTTGAGCAACTGTATATGGCTTATTCAAAAGAAGTAACAGCAGGAACTTATTGAATACTCATTACTGACTCCTCTGAGCTACAAAGGACTGGCCAGTAAAATATGTGCTTGCATACACATTACAACAGGCTAAAAGGAAATATCTTAAAATATTAACAGTGGTTTTCTGAGTAGATACTCTAGACCTTTGCTAATATATTAGCCACTATACACATGTGACTACTTACATTTAAACTGAAATTAAATACAACCAAAAACCCTTTCCTTCAGTCGCACTAGAAACTCAATAGCCACATGTAGCTAGTGGCTACTTTGGACAGCAAAGATACAGAGCATTTATATCATCACACAAAGTTCTTTCGAACAGTTCTGTTCATATGTTCTTTATACTTTTTCCAAGTGTATTACAATATGCATTGTAGCAGAGTCCTCTTATGAACAGAAATAAAATGGGGGGGGGGTTAGCAGAGGAAACACATCAGAGGTGCAGAGAACACATTCTTTAGGGAGAACTCAGGGAAACAGTACTCTGGAGAAAAGCAGGACACAGGCACGCTGGGGAGAAGAGGAAAGGCTAGAAAGAGACATGGGAATAATAGGCATTCCTAGGAAACGAAAGAAAGGACACAGAAATTCCAACAGCAGGGGTGGGGAAGGCAGCAATTATAGCAAGAAGTCACAGGTTCTTATCTCTCCCACTCACCAGCCATTACAGATGCTGACCGCTGAGCTGGCTCAAAAGGACATTTCCCCCGGCCACTCTCAATTCTTTCAACCTGCTGGAACCTGGACACGGCCTACAGACCAGAAGGGGCAATTGGTTTAGGGGTCATAGGGTTCATGATGAAAATCACAAAGATGTTCAGATGAAGGAAATTCCCAATTCCCATTCCTCTGCTACCTCCCCATATTCCCAGTCTGTTACTCCTGTTCCCCTGTCCATTCCTGCATTTCCCATCTCTGTCATCACTTTTTCATTAGTTTATTCTTCTTCCTTCAATCCCTTAATACCCAACCACCACATGCTCTAATGAAGGAGCACCTAAGATGGCCCTAGATGACACGGTGAGGCTGAACAGCTGATCTTTCCTCTGAAATGCTGACTTGTAGGGTTTGCAACTGGCTGGAGAATGTGATACAGAACAAGGAGGACGAGAGCAGGCCTGCTAAAGTCTGAAGCCCTTCAGAAGATTAAAGAAGAGACTGGTACAGGACCATCTGAAGCCCAGGAATCTAAGTATAAGTACACTACTGGCCCACACCCAGCCCAAGGATAAAAGATAGCACCAGAGCCAAGGATACAGAGAAGGGGGAAGAGAATCTGCTTCAGCTCAGGTCAGAATTTGAGGATTTGCGAATTTAATGCCTTCCTCATCCAGAGACTCCAAGAGGAATGACCTGAGTGTGGGAGAAGGGTGTAAGAGCCAGCCAGAAGTTACCTTAGCTAGGCATCATACACTAAGAGAGGCTTCAAGATAACTAAAAATAGAAATCAAGGATGATTCAACCTAGAGCTAATAGGAAATGTTAACTGTGGCTGGTTGGGAATCAAAGTTATGGCATGGAAGTGTCAGGATATCTCTGGCTCACAAACTAGTATGGACAGATGGTGTTACTGGAGCCTAATAACCTGGACAGTAGTTGGAGCTGCAATGCAGATATATGTCCCCTGAGTATAAGTACACTACTGGCCCATTCTGACTGCTTATGTGTTCGCTGTAATTGGCAAACAATATTTTATTTTATGGAGAGACTTGGACAAGGCCTGTTAAAATCAGATGTCATATGAGATTCCCAAAAGTGAATACTGGGTCAAAGAGTTTTCTGGAATGGAGGACTAAGCACCTTACCTGTGTGGCAGTGGGAGCATCCTAGCCTGAGGAGAAAGATGACAGTTCAGTAAGAGATCACCAAGTTGTGTGGGCACTTTAGGGACATGGTTAAAACCTGCTATGTCCCCTCTTACTCAACTATGGCAGTAACCCCCTTTCTGCCACACCGCCATCCATCATCCTCAATTTACTCTACATATCCACCCCAGAATAACATTCCTAGTCTATCAGTCACTGATTTGACTAAAATTTGAGCAAGAGAATGACAAAATGGCCCACCATTGCCTGGAGTAGAAACTCTTTAGCCCAAATTACTTATTCTCTAATACTTCTTAAAAGAAACTCTTTCTTCTAACCAAACCTGGATCACCTGTTATTCCTAGAAAACAAATTATGTTTTCCCATCTCTATGCCGGAAACTACTCCCTTACATTTCACCAAGGACAGAAAAGATGAGCCTTTTCTCAATTCTCATTCTTTCATCTTTACTTTTTGCTACTTTTGACTCACTCCCCTCCTTGAAATATTTTATTTCTTGACTTTCTTCAAATTATACCTTCCTAGAGTCCCTCCTCCTACATAATTGTTGTTTATCTCCTCTGGTTGTTTCTCTTCTTCTTTCTAGCCCCTAACTATGAACCGTAAAAAACATATCCTTAGTCCTTTTCACATATAGTTTAATTATGTTGTCAGCCAGACCTATGCAAATCATTCCTCTAACTCTCCAAGTCTCAGTTCTTCCAACTCTAGTCCACGTTTGCACTTGACTGCTGGACTTCCTCACAGAGATGGCTTATCAGGCCCTTCAAACTCATCAAAACTAGTCCTCTTCCAGTTTCCCCAAATAGAATCATTATGTTATCTAGGTTTATAGCCTTAGAGCAAGTGAGCCTCCTATTAACTAAACAGATTATGATTACTGTATGGTCAAAATTGCATTTAATAAGGTCTGAAAGGGGCCAGACCACTCTATTACATTCTTTCTCTGAATCTTGAGCTTCTTCATTGTATCATCATTGTGCGAATGAGCACATCAGTTGTGGTGAAGGCCAGAGCTAGAGCTAGGTTGGAAGGCCCTCACTCAGCTGTGGGGCTGGAATCCATCCTTCTGCCTTGGCAAAGGTCAGGTGGTTGGGGGTGGGGAGGCAGTGGGGTGGGGAGAGATGGTCCCTGTTACATGAAACAGGTCAAATGTCTCAAGAAGTTGAAGCCAGGTAAGGTCTTCTGTACTGCAGGTTGGACTAAAGGATGGGAGTGGTGGAGCAGAGCCAGACATACCTGGGTTTGAATCTTGGCTCTGCCTCTGCTAGATATATAATATTAGACATGGTACCTAACTTTTCTGAACTTATGTTTCATTGCCTGTAAAATGGAAGGAAATAACACCTAAATATTATAATGGGGTGATGAGAATTAAACTCAATCATGAATGTCAAATACCCAGTACCAAGTCTGGGATAAAGCAGATACTCAATTGAATGTGAAGTCTTGTTGTAATGTAAGTCTAACATTTTTTCTGTTAAATGCTGGAGTTCCCTCAACAAAACAAATTAAAACACTGACCTCCAAAAGCTAATGAGCTATCGCTGAAGGGCAGCACTCCACGTTGCTAGAACTGATAGGTCCAGTGCTTGAACTCCTTTTGTAAGAACCTTCATTTCTCTGAGCAAGCTGTTGTGTCTGGAGCAGCTAGCTAGTCAAAGCTCTCAGAAAATAGTTATGAATAGTCTCAAAGTCATCAGTCTGTAACATGGGAGTCTCAGAACTGAGGATAAGGCAAGAACTTGCTCAAGCAGATGGGCATGGGCAGATAGGATAAGACAGGCAGGTAAAAGCAGAAGAGAGCATCCAGAAAGTCTAGAGGGCAATATTGGTATGTGGCTTGAAGGGTTAACACAGCTGATCTTTCTGTGCCCTATATTCTCCTAAAACAAGCCTCGACAAAACGACAGTCCTTCCTTTCATGAGCCTGCTAGATAGAAGGTACAGAAAAAGAGCTGAAAGTCATGGGGCTCCAGAACACAGACCCCTGATTTTGCTCTGGGTGCTGATGTTCGTTGAGAGGGTCCAGGGGTCCAAGTCACACCAATCCTGACAGGTATGTCCAGAGCATTTTCTGTCTGGATACCTAACAGCCATTAGGATCCAACCTCAGAGAGCCAAGGAAGAATAGCTGGGAGACTATTTTCTGTAAGCCATGGTTGATATTCATACCCATGGGCACCCTGAGCCTGCACAGACTCAAAAAGGACAAATATGGCAATGACAATTCTACTGCTACTTTGTGAGCTTTATGAGGACTATAGGAAAACTAGAGATTCAATATTACCTGATAAAATATAAAGATTTTCAATACCACCCGCCTAGGAAACCTTCCCAGGATGACAAGATGAGGGAGCTATCCACACCCAGCAGGGAGCCTATCATTTGCATTATGAAAAGGACTTGGCATAAGCCCAAGAGAAGCCCACAGGGACTGGCTATATATTGAGTATATACAATTATAACATTCTAAGACAGAGATATGAGGATGGCCTTTAACAGAGAGAGGTTTGGAGGTAAGCACTGACTAGACCCAGGTGGCAAGGATTACTGAAGATTTCAGGAGGGTGAAGTCAAGACTGAAGTTAAAGATCAGGGTCAGGCCGAAACCGGTTTGGCTCTGTGGATAGAGCGTCAGCCTGCGGACTGAAGGGTCCCAGGTTCGATTCCGGTCAAGGGCATGTACCTGGGTTGCGGGCACATCCACAGTAGGAGATGTGCAGGAGGCAGCTGATCGATGTTTCTCTCTCATCGATGTTTCTAGCTCTCTATATCTCTCCCTTCCTCTCTGTAAAAAAAATCAATAAAATATATTAAAAAAAAAAAAAGATCAGGGTCAGGAAAAGGCGTCATTGTACTCCCTCCTATTTCTTCATGGAGTAGGAAGGGAAGACACCGGATGCAAAGGATGTGTGAGGTTTTCAACTCATCCTCGGGCCTTGTCACAAAGGTGTGCCACCAGAGGACCAATGACTGACAACTGGATAACTGATGGGAAAAGATGAGGATTCAAAAACATCAAGACCCTTCCTGAGATATCACAGTCCCAGGGACTTTTGTTGCCAGGACCAGCCTAGATGTGATTAAGGGTAAATATGTCCCAAGCCTGCCAGGGTGTGAGGGTGGAAATGCCAGGGCTTCAGCAGCAATGACCAGGACCTGGAAGAAAACATGGCTGACAGAGCAGCCACCTTGAAGGCAAGATTGATCCAGAGTATGGTGCCAGCAGATGCTAATTAGTGGGCAGTGACCTCAGAAGCTCATGAGAGGAGAGGGTCACAGCCCACATACAGTGAAGTTGGCAGTAGATATGGGAGAAGATGGTGAGAGTTACAGGCCATGGGAGGAAGAAATACGCATGGTCAGTGCTGATTAAGAAATGGACCCAGGCTCCTGGAGAAAGCATACATAGACAAGGGAAACGTGAGTTACTAGCTCTGAAGTTTCTCCTGGATTTCTCCTCTCCCGAGCTCAGCTAGCATCCCTAACTTCCTTCACTGTCCCACTACATCTCCCTTTAGACTTTGTATAACTTACCTTTACAGACAACCTCCCTCCCCACCCTTTCATACCTCCTCCAGTGGCAAAGGCTCCACCCAGTGAGGACATCCCTCACCACCAATGCTTATCATGCACATCAGTTGCCTTAAGCATGACCCTCATCATGGTCACTCACAGATGACCCTTCCCACCCTCCCACCCCTGTCACTCACAATAACCCCGCACTTCGGATCAAAAGCGAAGGTGCCACAGGTGAGGAGGTGAGAGGCATTGGCAATGGCGAGAATCTGGACAAAATTGTGACATTCGCCCTGGGGGTCAGAGATGGTTAGAGAAAATCAGAAGCAGCAGGTACAAGGAAAGGTAGGGTAGTGTCAGGCCAGTTAGATGCACTCTGGGGTCAGTAATGGTGGGTAATGATATGGTGTTAGAGTTCCTGCCTGGGCCCATTGGGATGGCAGCACTGCAGGGGACTGACAGAGTCAGGGCTGGGCCAACATTTCAATTGACACTCAGGACAGGGCCCAGATTTACACCTACCTCCTTCTTGCCTTTCTTCCTACAGTTCTGTCTCTGGGCCTCAGGCACCATCCAGTCAATCTGAGAAAGGAGGAATGACCATTTCCCCCTGATTCTCCCCAAACTTCTTCCAAGTCAAGGTAGATAACACAGTTCCACAACCTCCATCAATTTGGGAACTGCAGAGACACCCCTCACCCCCAGAGCACTGTTTTTAAAACTGGAGGTCCCAGCTATTAATGAGTAATAAAATCAATTGTAAAATCACAGCCAACATTACTTTTAACAAAGTATATCTGAATGTATCTCATATAGGAGAGTAAATATTGGTTCAAGTACACACTTTGTGTACGGAGTCAAAATATACCATATATTTCTTATTAAGGGCTGATCAAAAAAGTTTGAAAGTTATTGTCCTAGATTAATGAGATTCTAATAATTCCACTGCCCACTATCACCTAAAACTGTGATTCTAATGATTCCTCTCATCATGAACCTCCCTCACACCCTCCCCCATCACCAAGACCCCCCAAACACCCTCAGCTGAGATAATGTACTTGATGGCCTCCCCTATTCATTTTCACTAACATTTCACCTCCTACCACAACATCCCTCCCTGACCTCCCATAAAACCATGGATCTAATCACATGCTCTGGGTTCTTCCCCACTCTCATCTCTCACCCTTCGAGGTCTCTCCCCTGAGAAGGGCAGAGATAAAGCGAAGATGGTGTCCCGGGCGCCGACATAAAGTGTATGGGAAGCAGGATCCACAAGGAGAACAGAGTAATTGTATGTCTGAGGGAAGGTGAACCGGGTAAGATAAGAGTCAGCCTCTGGTGAAAGAGAGGGAAGAGTGGTATCAGCCATCGCTTCAGAAGGGTTAGGTCCACAAGGCCAGAAGAGCCAATTTTTGTGTTCTTCCATTTATTTATCAGCCATCAGGGGAAAATGACAGAACCTGACAGGCCATGTAACTTTCCCGAAGATAAATAACGGATGAGGCCAGAATATTTAGCACACAATGCTGTCAGGTATGCTTTCTCTATAAAAATAGAACACTTTATTAAAATAACAACATAAATATTAAGTCTGTAAAATCTATTCATAGCAAAATGACAAACAATTTGAAAATAACTTTAAAAGCTTCAAGTACTCTCTAAATTTCCCTTTAAAAAAAAACACACTACTTAATAATAACTTCCTTTTACTTAGAAGGGAAGTGCTACACTCTTTTCACTAACACATTAGGAGACTACCTCCTCTCTCTCCACAACCCTTGGTCCCTCCCACCTGCATTCTACCCAAAAAGCAAAAAGGTATAGAGCAGCGGTTCTCAATCTGCGGGTCTCGACTCCTTTGGCGGTCGAACAACTCTTTCACAGGGGTCTCCTAAGACCATCCTGCATATCAGATATTTACAGTACGATTCGTAACAGTAGCAACATTACAGTTATGAAGTAGCAACGAAAATAATTTTATGGTTAAGTCACAACATTAATAACTGTATTTAAAGGGCCAGAAGGTTGAGAACCACTGGTATAGAGCATAGTGGGCAAGAGTATATGCTTTAGAAATGGATCAGCCCAAGGTTAAATCTGGCTCTTTCACTTACCAGCTGTATGATCTTAAGTTACTTGCCCTCTCTGAGTATTACTGTCCTCTGTAAATATCACCATCCAGGGTGGTTGAGAGAATTAAATGAAATAACATGTGGAAGCATCTGACACATAGTACAAATCCATCCTTTCTTCCTTCCTTAAGTATGACCAAATCTAAATCTCACATCAGCATTCAAAATTCTCATCTATTTATGTCACTCCCACATCGATGTTTCCCTCGCTTCCTTCTTGCTCTCTCCCCCTCCCTCCCTTCCACTCTCTCTGAAAAAGAAAAAAAGCAATGGGAAAAAATATCCTCTTATCTATTTAAAGATAACAAATAAGTTAGCATACCTTCTAAGCTCAATGTCTGGCCCCGGGGTTCCTATGCCCCCACTAATACAACTCTATTCTACCTGTTTCATCTGCTCAGCTACCCTCAAGACTGATAGAATGGCCAGCAGCCATTCATTCCTAGATAGGCTGATATACGGAGCCCCACCCATCTCCCTACAATCATATTCATGACTGTGCTGTCTCTCTCACGCTTAGAATAAGCCCTGGTTCCCTCAACCTCCTTTTGTATCCCCAGCTCTGCTTCACCTTGCCATCTGGACCTCTCTGGGTCCCTGGACATCAACCCAGCCTGGTAATCACAGCTCTACGTAGTGGCTATTGCTCCAGCACAACCTGAAAGCCCACACTCCAATCATTTGTCCTCTCAACTCAAAACATCCTAAATGTCACTGGTCTGAAGTTAAGAATAAATTAATATCAACTAGTTGAGAGCTTTTGCCAACAGGTTGAACTCTCAGCTTCACTGGTTCTGTCTGCCCAAAGTGCTAACACTCAATGCCCACTGAGAAGAAAACAAGACCGGTCTCGGGCGCGGATGACCGTTATGACCGGCGCGGAGGGGCCCAGGATGCGGCTGCCTGGGTCCGGGGAGCAGGAGGGTGTAGGCACCCGCGGGCGGCGCCTGGGCGCGGCGCACAGGGCTGAGGGCGAGGGCGCCCGCGCCTTACCGGAGACGGGAAGCGAGGTCCTGGGCACCCAGCGGGGAACCAGACCGCACACCGGGCCGCTCAGCACCGCCAACAGCAGCAGCGGGAAATGCGAGCCGGGGCGGGGCGGCGCGGCCGAGGCCGGCATCTTTGGCTCCGCCTGGCCCCGGGTGGGGCGCACCCTACCGTTTCTGCTCTGGGCCGCGGAGCCGCGGGCCTGGGTCCCGCTGGTTTCTCCTCAGCCAGGTTCGGCCTCCGGCGGGCGGAACGGACGCCACCCGGCCCCGCCCCTTCAGGAGGAGACCAATGGCGGTGCTGGTTTTCTCCTCCAGCCAATCGGGGTTGAGTGCAGCGCGGGCGGAGCGGAGGTGCCCCGCCCTGTAGGGGCGGAGCCAGGCCCAGGTGTGGGCGGGCGGTCTTTCCCCACCTCGGGCTGCAGCCGTCCTCTCCCGCGCGAGCTCGAGCGCTGAGCAGAGAATTCCCGGCCAACCAGGTAGAGTTGGAGACCCAGGTGTCCCGCTGATAGGACCGGGCACTCCTGTCCCAACTGGGTTTTGTCAGGGGGACTATCGGAATCTACAGCAAGTGAATGAAAATGGGAATGAGGAGCGCGGGGCAGACCCGCCTGCAATGGTGGAGGTTTGAAAAGACTTCCGAGAGCTTCCCAAGGGAAGACTAAACTCTGACTTCCATGAGGGCAGGCGCCATTGTGTGTGTGTCCACTGTACCCCAGTCCTAGCACAGCGCCTGGCACAGAGTATGCCCTCAGCACATATTTATTGAATAAAAGAGTGACTGACTCAGTGAATGGATGAGTGAGTGAGTGAGTGAGTGAGTGGATGATGGAGAAGAGAAAGGTTAAAGCCAAGAGCACAATGCAAGTACCACTGGAATGTTCCATGGGGGTAGCTGACAGGAAGTGTCAGGTGTAACACTATTCTCCACAGAGATCCAAACCTCTACCCACACACCTCACCGCCACCCCGAGGCCTTGGAGACCGAGCTCCTGGGGTGCAGCCTGAGCTGGACCCAGAGGCAACTCCCGCCTCCAGCCGCCGGCCTGAGGGGGGCGCCTTCCGCTGCGCAGGCGCTTGCGGGGAGCCCAAGGGCGGGGTGATGGGTCTTGGCCTTCCCCCAGCAAGTGGGGACCCCAGCGCTTCTCCACTCCTCAGGGCAGGAGAAGGGCTAAGGAGACCCGAGGGAAACGAGGGAAACAAGAAGCCACCTGGGCTTCAGCCGGTTCGCGCCCCAGGCGGTGTTAGCAGCTCGGGCTGGGGCAAGAGGGCGCCCAGAGGCCCAAACCCACTGGGTGCGGGTGCGGCTCAGCCTGGCAGGCTCAGCCCTGGCAGGAGGTTCTGACCAGAGGATGGCAGACGCCTTGTCTCCCGAGGGCTCTCCCCAGCCTGGGCTCGGGGCCACCCATGTGTCAGCACGCTGAGCACAGCCGCGCCTGTGACCCACGACTCCTTGAGGGGCCCACGGAAATGTTCTGACTTCTTATAAAGTCAGGGGGAAAAATGAAAGAATCAAAGAAAATGTTTTGATTTTTTTTCTTACATCAGAAAACAAAGTGAAATTTTTAGGGCTCCCCAATAAAATCTATTCATTAATTTTTTTTTTAATGCAGGGAGTGTCCTGGCAGACAGAAGTGCTCATGATCGCTCCTCCCGCATGGCTCAGTGGTTAATTTTCTTTTTTTTTTCTCAAAATATTTTTATTTTTTTCAGAGAGGAGGGGAGAGAGAGAAACATCAATGATGAGAGAGAATCATTGATAAGCTGCTTCTTGCACACTTACTGGGGATCAAGCCCGCAACCTGGGCAGGAATGGAACCTGGGCCCCTACAGGCTGATGCTCTATCCACTCAGCCAAACCATGAACCAGGAGGTCACGGTTCAATTCCCACTCAGGGCACATTCCCAGGTTGCAGGCTTGATCCCCAGTATGGGCCATGCAGGCAACAGCCAATCAATGATTCTCTCTCACTCCCTCTTCCTCTCTGAAGTCAATTTTTTTAAACAAAAAGAGTAAATCAGATAGGAGATAGCTGTTTTTCCTTATGAGCCTTTTGGCATTGTTTAACTTTTAAACAATGTAAAAGTTACATAAGTAAAAATTAATAGATAAAAGTGAGTATCATAAATGTGCTTCTTGGATAAAAGTAAAAGTTAATTTCGAGAAATTATTATGGCTGTGGTAGAGTGGTCTGGGAACTTTCTCAAGAGCAGGAATGTCTGCATTCTGACCCTAAATTAAAATAAATCATTGAGCTATACTCTTTGTCTTGTGACAGGCAAAATAGACCAGCCCCTTTGAAAAGGGAAACCAATGACTCCTCTGGCTGGAAAAGACCACAGAGAAGGCCGGGGAAGGATCCTGCTGTGCACGCCTACTATGGTCTCTCTTTCTCTCATTTGGTGAGTTGTCAAGTCACCAGGAACAGGAGGCTACGTTCTCTATTACACGGAGCAACAAAGGGGGAATGAGTGGTTCGATAATGAGGCCTGATATCTGTCTCACACAGAGAAAGCCTGGGCCTCCCAAAGGCTTTAGGTTACAACCTAGATGGCACTTATCAGGGTTCCTAAAGTTGCAACTGGGACATGAAGAAGCCACAGAAGATGCAGGGTGAGTATTCTTTTATGGATTTCAGAGAGGAAGGGAGAGGGAGAGAGAGATAGAAACATCAATGATGAGAGAGAATAATTGATCAGCTGCCTCCTGCGCGCACCGCACTGGGGATCAAGCCCACAACCTAGTCATGTGCCCTTGACCAGATGGAACCCAGGACCCTTCATTCCACAAGCCAACTCTCCATCCACTGGTCCAAACTGGCTAGGGCAAGATGTGTCTCTCTTTAAATCTTGCTCTAAATTTCAGGTTGCCTTGTATGTAGAGTGAAGATTGAAAATTGTTTAATTGCTGTTGGGCTTTAATGAAGAGTTTTATTTTAGTTTGGGAGGGGGGGAATATGGTCTGGGTGGGGTGCTATAGTTTGTGACTGCTATGCATACTTAGGAAATGCCTGTCTGCTTGGATCACAAGCCCGCAATTCACATGGGCGGCAACTTTACCTAGGTTGGCAACTTTACTTGCGCTACAGGCCTAGTGCCCAGGAAGAGAAATCCCCTTTGGCCTCGCCAGCCTCAACCTGGGAATTGATGAAAACAGCATGTCCCTTTTGAGCCTGTATTTTCAACTGAGGTCATCTCGAGCCAGATCTGATTATTATATGTTAGTTCATCACAAATTCTGATGGAGACATTGACATTTACTTGACTCTAGAACAGAGTGCATTACATCTTGGGTGTGTTTTGATAACTATCTCATTAAGAACCTTTGAATGTTTAGTAGGAATAGTTGACGATCTACAACTAGAGATTAATGTAGTCCTTTCTGAAGAGGTTTTCCAGACTTTGGTCGGTTTTTCATTACACATTTTATTAACCAGACCCTAAATCCTCTCTCCCCACACCCTCAAAGAAAGAATTTGATTTGAGGAGCACAAAGGGGCTGGACTAGAGACTTTCAGTCACAGAAATCGGATCCTGGGAAACACTACAGTACAGAAGACTGGGATCTTAAGTCAGCCAAAGGAACACTTCACTTTTTCATTTTTATTTTACTTTATTTCTTTTTTATTACTTTGTTATCTCCTTTTTTTCTTTTTTCCTGTTTTTGTTTGTTGCTTTATTTTCTATTTCTTTTCACATTTTTCATCACTATTTTATTTTATTTTTATTTGCTATTTTTATACCATTTTTGAAATCAAATTTTTTGTAAATTTATTATTATTATTTTTTCTCATTCTCTTTCCTTTTATCCACCCATCCCCTTTCTACTTTCTCTATACTGAACTGAAATCCTCCCCGTATTCATCCAACTCTTAACCTTATCTTCTATATATAAGCTCAGCATCTACAGATTCTGCTCCCACCCTCTTTGCTGGGGGTTTGATGTTTGTATTTTTTTTAATTTTATTGTTATTATTTTTTTCTTTGTTTTGTTTGTTTATGTATTGGTTCTGTGGTGTTTTCCCCATATATATAATTTCCTTTTCTTCCTTCTTCTTTTCTCTCTTATCTTTTTTGCTCTCTTCGATATCATTTATGCTCTCTTTTCTCGCCCCTCATTCTCTTTTCTCAGGTGGTCATTTATAATAGGGTTATTGTTATCGTGAGTGCATTCGTGCTTTGGACCCTTTGTGTTGTCTCTTATCGAGGCGAATTATATCCTGTCTGGCCAGGTGCTAGAGAGTGAGCCTCATAACCAGACACCTGGAGAGGAAACTCCATCCACAAACGGGTCAATAACACCCCAGACCCAACTACAGAGGCAGGAAGAAGGTGGCAGTGAGGGAGAGAGCATGAGTCAGTGAGGGACCAAAAGAGGAGTGTGTGGTCATGTGGGATGTGTGTGTGTGTATGTGAGTGAGGCACAGATAGATCCCGCACGGCCTTCGGGGTCAGGCTAAACGGGCACGCCTAATTAGGCAGCCTCTGCTATCGTGTAAGCAGTTCCAGGAGGCCGGCTCGTCACCAGAAGCCTAGCGTTTATAAGGGGAGAGCTGCTGTAACTGGGAGCCAGGCCTCACCCCCACCCACGGTGCCCTCAGATAACACCTTGGACTCTACAGACACCCCTGCTAGGGACCTGCTACTTCAGCTGTGGTCCCACGGTCAACGAGTCTCCAGCCACCCTGAGTGCAGGCTTCTGTGAGTTCTGAAGCATGCTCCCCTCTGACTGGCCCAATATCTTAGCCCGGGGCACTGCAACCACGCAAGCAGCAGACACGTGAACAGCCCACTCCTGTCCAAGGAGCAGCAGCCCCATGAGCAGCCTGCCCCAGGCCAAAGAGCAGAAACCTCACATGGCCTGCCCCTGTCCAAGGAGCAGCAGCTGTCAGTTGTGTGAGTGGCCCGCTCCCTCATCCAAGGAGCAGGAGCCACACGAGCAGCCTGCCCACGATTGAGGAGCGGCAGCCCCACGCAGCCCGCCTTCATCCGAGGAGCAGCAGCTGTACAGCCCACACCCTCCTCCTGTCTGAGGAGCAGTAGATGTGTGAGAAACCTGCCCCCATCCAAGGAGCAGCAGCTGCACGAGCAGCCTGCCCCCATATGAGGAGCAGCAGCAGTGTGAGCAGCCCAT